CCCCAAAAAACAGAGGGACTAGAAGAAAATACTGTTGAATAGTGATACATGGAGCAGATTGTAATCATTGCAATGAAACGATGAGTGTAAACTGTTGTTCTCCCATGTAAACTATCACTCAATTCACCATAAAAACTTTAAAAAAGAAAAAAAGTTGAAACGGACTTGAGGGTACTTAACAACATTTTATATCATAGAAGAATTGATGCTTTTGAGTTATGGTGTTGGAGGAGAATATGGAAAGTGCCATGGGCTGCCAAAAGAACCAACAGATCTGTGTTGGAAGAAGTGCAGCCAGAGTGCTCCTTGGAGGCCAGGATGGCCAAACTTTGTCTCTCATACTTTGGATATATTGTCAGGAGGGACCAGTCACTGGAGAAGGATATCATGTTTGGTAAGGTGGAGGGTCAGAGAAAAAGAGGAAGACCCCCCAACAAGATGGATTGGCCAAGTGGCAGCATCGATGGACTTAAGCGTGGCAATAATGGTGAGGTTGGCCCAGGATCGGGAAGTGTTTCAGTCTGTTGTGCATAGGGTCGCTATGAGTCGGTGCCACCTCGATGGCACCTAACAACAACAACAACAACAACATGTGAAGATTGATATTCATCCTGAGTCTCAGGATGTTGCGGGTCACTTCTCTGTTTAACAGTCCTCTTCAGTCCAGTTGTCCTCCTGTGTCATCTCACTGCCTGGGCTTTCCGGGGCTCTGTCCTCTTCTCAGTGCAAGACTGCCCCCCTCTGCGTGTGCCCCTACCCCTGCCCCCTGCCTTTTGGCAACAGCCTCTAGAATTTGCCCCCAGCTGAAATTCTGGGTGACTCTAAAGCTTATATCATGTGTTTACCCTCTCTCAGACATGCATGTCTGTTGTCCCACACTATCATCAAACCACCTATGGTTTCTATCATGATATCATTGTAGCTTTAATAAGAAGTTGTTGTGTTCCAAGAAAAATAATTTCTGTTTTCTTTAGACGTTTACCTATTCGGATTTTTGTTGCAACCTTCTCTCAACAGCAAGACTGTGAAAGGCTTTCAGAAGGGCAAGTCTTCAGACAGATCTGTCTTTGCTTCTTGTGACATTTTGGGTGAAAAAGAACTTGAACTGTGTTCTGTGTTGTTGCCTTCCCAGCCTACTTTTATGATTTTATTAAAACAGTCTAATTTTACTGGGGAAAGGAAGCTTTTCCTTTCTTTCTTTTTAATCAAGGAGAAAAAGGCCATAAAGAGATCCAATCACTCCACAAAATATTTTCTGTGCTTGATTTTCACAGATTAGACAGATAGGTTTCTCCGCAATTGCATCTTTTCCTTGGTTCTCTGCAGAATAAAGAAACAGCCACTTCTAAGAGGACGAAAGCGGACTCTCTTTGTTGTTAGATGGTACTTGACAGTCATGTGCCTCCTGTGTTGTTTCTGCTCATTTACCCGGGATTTCCACCGTGTCCCTGTCGGAAGCAGCCAAGAAAAGTCAGGGGGCTTGTTCACTTCACAGACTGCGGCTTTTCAAGGCCATTGCTGAATGCCTCTTCATTTCCTTCACCACGCTGCTAGCAGTTGGTGGAAAACTACACATGTGTGGGGTTCATTCACTCAACATTGACTGAGCTGCCTGAGACCAGGGGCCGCATCGTATTCCTCATGTTCTAAGCATAGAACTTAGTCCCCTGAAGGTGCTCAGAGGAATTGGTAGAGAGTAAGAATGAATGGAACCTCAATTCAGGCGGTAAATCGGCAACAACTTAATACAAGTCAGTGGAGTCAGAAAGTCTGTACAGAGAGGTTTTAATCTTCTCTTTTGTGATGACCGTGGAGGTGGGGGGAGGCTCAGGAAATGTAGCCTAGGTTCCCAGGAAGCAGGCGATCATTTTGAGATGGTGGAACAGTGGGAAAGGGTGAGTGGGAAATGAGGGGTTTTGGTGACTTGCAAGTCACGTGTATTTCATGGAACCTCTTTGCGTGAGGAGTTCCAGAAGGCTAGTTGGAGGAGTGGCTTCCTCTGGGTCACGGAGCAGAAATAGGTGACGATGTTTGTGGAAATGCAAACCTTGAAGAGAGCCAGTAAGCATGTAGTCTGGGCCCCTGGGGTGTGTGGAGGGGGAGGCTATAGAGGAGTGGGGTAGGAACAATAATGTCTTAAAATGGGACTACAACTCATCTCTTCGCACTCTGCACCACTTTGCCCTGGAGTAGCAGTGGGTGAGGTTTCAGAAGAAGAAAGGGGTTTACTGCCACCTTTTTTCATGCCATCCTCACTGAACCCTGTACAGGGTTGCCATGAGTCGGAACTGACTCGACAGCACAGAACAGCAACAACAACAACAAAGTCTGGTGTTCAAGGTTGGTGGATCAAACCCACCTGCCACTCCTCAGAAACCCCTATCCAGGGTTGCTATGAGTCAGAACTGCTTCGACGGTCTGTCAGAATACCAGCAGTCCGGTGGCTACATGTTAGAAATCCTGTCTTTCATACAGGAGGTCTGCCCTCTCTTCTTGACCAGCGCACTGCATGCACAGTCTCAGCTGTCTGTCAGTAGACGCTCACATTGTTGCCGTGGTGCAGAACAGGGTTTGGTGGGGCTTGCAGACTAAGATGGAGTAGGAAGAAAGACCTAGTGGTCGCCTTCCAAAAGCCCAGCCAGTAAAACCCTCCAAGTAACAGAGCAGCCAGTGGGAACCCTTCGGGTAACAGAGCAGCCAGTGGGAACCCTGTGGGTGACACGTCAGCCAGTGAAACACTCCGGGTGACACACCAGCAGTGAAAGTCCTCCGGGTGACAGAGGTTCTGTCCTCAGCCCATCATGTGGTGCCACAGGATAAAGTTGGGTGGTGCCCCCTGAGTTGGGGGCTGTTCAGCAGCAGGTAGCACCAACAATGACTACATGAAACATCTGGGAAGAGTAGGCGTTACCCCACTGGGCAGTTGAGGATCTGAGACAGCGAGTGGTGAAGCTGTAGTTCTGCGTTTTCTGTGCCACGCCACCGTGCATGTCTCCTGGGGTCTCTGTCGTCTGGCCTTCCCAGAGGAAAGTCACTTTTTTAGTGTGCCCTCTGTCTGATTGCATGCACAGACTGCTGTCATTTAAACAAGTCTGAGGCTGCCTAGCCACTGGAGAGGAGAAACCGCTCAGCAACAGGAAAGCTGCTGTCAGCCGGGCGGGAGGCAGGACTCTCCTGGTAGGCTTTACCGGGCAGGGACCAGGTGACAGGCCTTCGGTCTGCACCTTGGACACCTGGTCATGAGGCCCCGACAAGGCGCTGTGTGCAGGCCTGCATCTCCCACCTTGTGCTCTGCTTTCAACCCCACCCCCATACTACCGCTCCTCAGGGACCTAACCAGTAACTAGTAGTACACTGCTGTGAAGTCCATACTGACCCACAGCGACCTGATAGGGCTTCTGAGACTGCAGTCTTTATGGGAGCAGTGCCATCAAATTGGTTCCTACTCATAGAGACCCTGTATAGGGTTTCCCAGGCTTTTAAATCTTGGGTGGAGCAGAAAGCCTCATCTTTCTCTTGTCTCAGCCTCTGACCTTGTGGTTCAGTACTTGTCACTGCCGAATGCCATGAGCACGTGCTTAGCCCTTCTTCCAGAAGTTCCTCTCTCCTCGGGGTCCCACCAGGGCCTTCTTCCACTGTTGCCTCTGTTCCTGCGTTCATGGTGCCACAGCTGTGATGCCACTGCCGAATCCAAGGTTACCGCGGCTTATTCCTGTACAGTCTAATAAGAGGTGTTTTTTAGCCAACTGGTTTTGTATTTTGTTTGCTTTTTAAATGAGAACTTTTGAATGTGATTTGGGTGAAGGTTTGTAGGGAACATCACTGTTGCCTTTAGCAGTTCATACTCACTTTGTCTCGTGTCCTGTGCTGCCATCCCTACCATCTAACATCACCCATTCCATTTCCTCCCTATGTTTCTCAGCTCCACGGTGCCCTCTGTCCTAACCCTTCCCGGGCCCTTTGATCTCCACTGGTTGGTGCCATCGAGTCAGTTGGGGTTTTTTTCTCTATAGGGTTTCTGAGGAGCGTCTGCTGGGTTTGAACCATTGATCTTGAGGTTAGCAGTGAAGCGCTTATCCTACAGTGTCACTCCAGGACTTCTCTAAGAAGTGAGAACCTCCCCAGAGTAACTCCACTTTACAGACCTGACTGCTGTTTGGCTGAAAATTGAGTGGCACATTTTTTCTATAAAGGACCTCTTAGTCAATATTTTAGGGATTCCAGGCACCATCTTTGTTTTTGTTTTACAACCTTCTTGATACGTAAAAGCATTCTTAGCTCTCAGACCAGACACAGTTAGGCTGTGGGGGGAATTTGGTCTGTGGACCACAGTTGGTCGACACCTGTCCCAAAACTTCCCATTTGCTCCAGTGTCTCCTCAGGTTGGGACTGCCTCTGGGGACCAGGTGCTCACACCTTGCCCGTCTTTGCAGTGCACGACCCTCTTTGGAGCACTGGCTTTCTATCACCCCGTGTCCTTGTCGTTCTAAGGGGCTCAAGGGAATGGCATGGGGTTGTAGCTCCCCAGCTTTAACTCACCACTACCAGGAAGTCACGGAGTCCTGACTTGGCACTGTAGGATAAGCTCTGGAGTGCTAACCACAAGATTAGTGGTTCAAACCCATCATCCAGCCCTTGGAAACCCTACATAGGGTCACTGTGAGTCAGAACCGACTTGACAACCCTTGGCAGCAGCAGGCAGCCCCACTGCACCTGCTCCTTTATGGATCGACATTGTGTCTCTCTACAATCTTCCATCCAACTGCAGGCCACAGGTTTGAAGTCCTTTGTATTCATGCCTCCAGGCTGAGAATTGCTGGGGAAGATATCCGGGTGCCAGAGAAAAGCCAGTGCAAGGGTTGGAGACAGGGTGGGAGCTGCCAGAGGCTAAGAGGCATCTCTGTGGGGCTGATCTTCACTTCCTGGGTCACGTGCTGGTCTCCGGGGAGCAATGCTGTGACCCCCTTAGTGAAGATGAACTTATCACTTTCTCTTTGTAGACTCTGGAAGCAGTCCTAAATTTCAAATACTCCGGAGGCCCAGGCCACGTGGAAGGCTATTACCGGACCCTCTCCCTGGGCCTGCATGTAGAAGTTGAGCCGTCTGTGTTTTTCACACGCGTCAGCGCTCTCCCGGCAAGCAGGTAAGCTAACTGTCACTTGAAAAAAGCTTTCACCTTGTCTTCTGTCCTGTTATATCGATTTCGATACGTACCAACGCCATGTGACAGAGGAGAGCTGCCCGATAGGGTCTCCTGGGTTGTAATCTTTACAGCAGTAAGGAAGGCCTTCCTGACGTATTGTCTATACTATGATAGGCCCCACCACTCGTCTGTCAGCTTGTCATACTGTGGTGGCTTGTGAGTTGCTGAGATTCTGAAAGCTATGCCACTGGTATTTTAAATACCAGCAGGGTCACCTATGGTGGACAGGTTTCAGAT